ATCCCGAAGTTTTGTTTCTACTTTCTTGGTCGTTCACCAGATCTCGAGAGATTGAAGAATCTCATATATTGAAGTAAAATATCGTGATATGATTTCCAAAACCTAATTTATTTATTTTCATCATCAAAATCCTTTTCTAATTTCTCTCTTAACATAAATCCATCGGTTGTCTCGTGGGTGAGTCTTTTTTACTTTGGCTTTAGTGGATGAATTGTCTAAATCAACGAGATAATGTTCTCAAAAAAATTTTTCACGAAATAATGCTCTCGTTAGATTAATTGTTAAGATAAGGTGATCTTTATAATCTCCATATAGGTCTCCAAATGTTTCGGACGATGTAGGTGTGTTGATGTCAAGGTCGCCATGCACACCCGTAATAGGTCGCCATACACTCCCAATGGCATGCATGCGTGATTCAGAGGTTTGCGGGTAAAATGTAAACATAAAACTAAGCAGAGTATCACGGCACAATCAAAGCACATGCATGTGCTCTAAGCACAACGTGGCAGTATCTCAGGATTTTATTTGACCATGTCACCATTGACCTTTGTTTATTAACCAAGTATGCATCAAATTCAACACTCTCAGTTAAATGGATTTGACAAAGTACATAGTTGGATATTCTTAGTTACAATTTACAATCACATAAATTTAGTTCAATCGTACAGAAAAGTCAATCAATAAGTAGGGTTTTAAAAGAGTTGAGTCGAATTCGAGTAGTACTGAATTTGAATTGACTTAAAAATTATAAAATTAAGTTTGATTAGATTAAAAAATCACGAATTTAAAATTGACAAGCTTGAGTCGAACTCGAAGCAAAAAATTAAAGTTTGACTCGAGCTCGAAAAAATTATTTGTTGTATTTTAGTTGTTGATGAAAACCCTAAACCCTAAAATATTTTGGTTATTGATAAAAAAACCCCTAAACCCTAACCATTCTCCCTCCAATCAATTTTTTCTTATAAAAAATAAATCTGTAACCACCATAATGGTAGATATCACCATCTTCTACCCCTTTCATTGCCCTCAACATACCATGAATTTATAAAAAATTTCATCAACAACTAAAATATTTTAGGGTTTAGGGTTCACAAAATCAATAGTTACTTATATTATTTGTTGTATATTTTTTTAATAATATATTTTAAAATATTATTTTTATAAACATTATAATATTTTCTAAATTCAAACGTTATTAAACATTATTAATAGAAAATACAATATACAACTAATTTTGAAGAGTTTTGGTCTGTTTGCGAGGACCTCCCTTGATAACCACACCACAACGTTATTAAACATGTAAGAGTAACATATTGATCCTCAACCTGACAAACAGAAAAATTCAGCCCTTTTTTCATACAATTCAGATCTATCATGAAATTTTATTTGTATCCACCCACTTAAAATTATTATATGATTAATATATGTATGTCTACACTAAAAAATATTTATGAATCTATCGCTGCATGAACATATAAACATATTGATAAACTATTTATCATTTTTTCTGTAATTCTGCTGATAATTATAAAATGTTTTAAATATAATTATAAAACAAAGAAACACAAATCTGCAAGTGGTATATAATTATAAAAATCAGGAAAGTAAAAAAAGTATGAAAGGAAAAAAATAATAGTAATAACAATACCAATAAAAAGAAAAAGTATAAAGAAAAAATTGATTTATAAAGGTTATATATATATATATAATAGTAAAATAATATTAATAGTATATAAATATTATATGTATATAAATAATATTAAAAGTTGGAGCTTGAATATGCTCTCTTGCATTAACATAAATTTGGAGCTTGAATAAAAATTGAGTATTACAAATTGTTACGATGTTGGCATTACAATTAACAATGCTGACATGAAAGTTTACTATAATTGTCGCAACCGTCTTTCGGTTGGACCCGAAATTGGGTTTCGACTTGAATGAAATGGGTTAGAGTCGCCACCGATCATTTTAAAACGGTATTTAGATAGATCGGACACCATCTTACCTGATATGCGTTTTACCAGAAATATGTCGGATTCGGGAGTCGGTTACGATCAAGGAAGGATTAGCACCCTTGAACCGCCCTTTCGGTACCAATTAATTTGTCGGTTATCTTTAATTGCGAAAATTAAAATTAAAATTTAAAAGTATTCGATTCAAAATGATTACCTTTGATCAGTTGGAATTTATCTACAAAGTTAAAAATGTTAGAAAAAAATAAAAATGATAAAAAATATTAAATAAACTAAAAATATAAAATGAAATAAAAAATAAAAAACATTTAGAAAGGGGGAAAATAATTTTAAATTCAAAAAAGAAAAAAAGAAAGTCAAAAGTTTGAAAAAAGAAAATAGTTATAAAAGAGGAAAAATTGAAAAAGGTTAAAAATAAAAGAAAAAGTTAAAAGAGTTGAAAAAAAGATTGAAAAACGTTTAGAAAAAAAAATGTTAATGATAATAAAATACATATGATAACAATAATAACAAAGACAAAAGAATAATGAAAATAATATAGTAAAAAAATAAAAATAATATAATATAATAATAATAAGTAATAAAAACCCCAAAACAATAGAAAATGAAAAAATATAATTAAATATATATATGTATATAGAACAAAATAAAATAATAATAATAATAATAATAAGTAAAAAGAAAATAAAATAAAATATAAAAATAAAATAAGAAGAATATAATTATATATATAATAATAATGGACGAAATTGAGAAGAAAATAAAATACGAGGTACAATTTGAAAGGAAATCACAGTTGAAGTCGAAATTCAGGACCAAATTAAAGGTTTTAAAACAGGGGGACCAAAACGCGATTTATCCTTTAATATGTAGAAATACGCAGATCCTTCCCGGGTCAGAGTCGACGAGCAGGTCACCAGCCCGATCGATGGGCCAAGTATTTAAGTTAATTTTTTTTTAAAAAGCTTCATTTTCTATTCTTTAACACCAAAACACCCTCCCTCACTTTGAAACACTCTCAAGTGTTCTTCAAAAATAAGAACATGGTCGTGGGTCTCAATAAACCCAGAAATCGGCCAGCGTGCGCCGTCTCGCCGTTGATCGGCGACAAACCTAAAAAAATTGATTTTTTAAAGCTCCCGACCCCCTTATTTCAGATATCCAAATAGTTTTTTGAAAATCGACCTTAGGATTGCTAGATCTACAAAGATAGATCTCAAAAACCTTTCCTGTTCATCGGCCAAAAGCTTTCTTTTTGGGGACTGATTTGAACCAAAAGTTAAAGAAGACTACATGCAAGCATAAATCTGAGAAAAGGTTCGACCTTTACCTTTGTTTCTTTCGACCGATTGCAAAAATAAATGCTTCGGATGATTTCTTGTGATTTGCTATAATTTTCTGTTTTTTATTTCGTATCCACTGTTGTGTTACAAATGGATGATTACATGAATTTATACCCTCGACATTAGCTATTTTTAGAGTCCGATTTGGACTCAACTACTTTGATCTTTCGTGATTGAACGTTTCTTGACTGATTTGTTGGGTTGTTGCAAAGGAAATCAGCGTTGGTTGGCTACGTGTGGCACGAGGACTCCGGATGTGGGGGCTATGAACAGTGCGGCGCTGGGGTGAGAGGTGGAAGGCTGTTGAAACATCAAGAACCCTAATCTGCCTTAAGGTTTCTTGTTGGGTTGAACACAAGTGGGCTGCTGGGCTGTTGTGTATTTATTTAAGGCTCGGTCATGGAAATACAAATAAAAGATAAATTAATATATGCTTATATAATATAGCATGAACATATGATATAGTACATATATACTACAAAATTATGGACGAAGAAAAATGTGTGTCTACAATAATGATATAATCTAAAATATTAACATAGTAATTTATATATAAGTGATGACATGATAAAAGAATTGAATTGACTATAAATATTAAATCATTGTATATATTAAATCTTTTATTCACATGAATCAAGTAGTTTTCGTGGTGAATGAGTTGTAGTTATTTTTTGAGGATTTAGATTTGACCACCATAAATGTCAGAGGTGTGAGCGTTCAATTTCAAAAGATTAAAAATTTATCTTTAAATAGATATTGCATTATACGTATCCCAAATTAATAAAAAAAATCTTATATTCACATTTTTGTTATTTATAAATATTTACCTCTCTTAGGTTTGAGTTAGCCCGAAATCAGTTTTAAGGTTTTTCTATATATTGATTGATGTCTGATTATTTTAAATATTTTAATAATAGAATAGAATATAATTAATTAAAATACAATATAGCGGCAACTATACCCGAAAATGTAGCGAATAAAGATCGTGCATGAAGCCTTATCTGATTGTTTATGGGACTTTGTGGTTCTTGTTATCCTCACTTTTTTTTTTAGGGGATTGTTATCCTCGCCTTAGATTGTTTAGATATGGAAACAAAAATAGACATCATCGTTAAAATGCAAATCCAACGGCCACCAAAGGAATTTGGCAGTGCGCCAAGTGTATAATATATATGGATAATAAATGCTCAAGTTTCTCTTTCAGACAAAAGCCATTCCCACACGATTTTGCCCTTCTTAATTTGACCCCATTCCACTCCTGCTTTCAAACAGGGCCCATTTCGTGATTAATTTTTAATCAAAACAAAAAGGGTTAGTCTAAATATACCAATTTTTTTACTAAACCTACCAAAAGATTAATGTAATGATTATGTTTTTTTATTTTTTATTAAAACATCAAAAGATTAATGTAATGATTATGTTTTTTCTTTATATGTATTAAAATTTTTATCATTATGTAATAATGATGTATTTTTATATTTTATTAAAATTTTATCTTTTTCATTATTAAAGTTTTTAATTAAAGTATTTTTCATTTATTTCTTTAATATGGTAATAATTATTTATTTTTTAAATTTTTGTTATCTTTTATATTTATTTAATTATACATACATGTATAAAAAATAAATATTAAAATATTCATTGATAAATAAACTAGAATTACAATAAATTGAACGTTACATAATTACTTCGATAGGTCAAAAGTTTCAGGAATACGAAAATAATATTCACGAAACTCTTCCTGACGACTAACATATGGGTCTTCCCATGCAGATGCAATGTCACTTTTATATGTGATCCAAAGTGGATGAGTCATCGGCAAAGGACAACCTTCGCGTAATGTCGCTTTAATATAATGGTTATCATTCACATGTGCAATGACGATTGTCCCATGTGGCTCTGATTGTGGTGGACTTGACCAAAGAGGGAAAATCGTAGTACAACCTCCGACGTTTCCTCCATTAGCTAGACTTATAACAACTCTATTGTATGCAGAAGCAATAATCAATCCCGTGTTTGGCATTTCCATCCATTTTCCAGCTAATTGTACGGTTTTATAGATTTTTTTATAATCTGTCGTTCCAAATATATACTTGTACTTTTGCTGGTTAACATCTAACTCCCGCACCAAGTCTGATCGAATTCGAGGCCATTGATCCTCAGATAGACCAAGAGCGACAGCGACCGATCGAAATCCGCAATTTCCGTCACCTATTACATCTTGTAAACCTGTAAGATAATGACGGAAAATTTGTGGAAGTTGTTTCAAAAATCTTTCCGAACCAGGTCTGGTAAACGACTGGCTTACATATGAACTGTGTCTCGCGGGTTCTTCATTTAAATTCGGGAACAAGTCGTGTGCGCTTGTTACATATGAACTGTGTCTCACCGTTTCAATATTTGTCGGTTCCAAATTCAAATCTATATCAAAAAATCTGGTGGAATAACTACTTTTACCAGGATCTTGATTTTTCGGATCAACGCACTTCTTCTTTTTTTGTTTCTTCAAGCTTGGCCGCCCGCGAGTATTTTTTTTAACTGCGGGTTCTTTAATAAGATTTGTGCTTGGATTGAATATATCGGCTAGCTTTCTTAAGAAACTCTTCTTTCCAGCGTTGGACTGCTTTTTGAATTTTTCTTTGAAAATATGCAGTTCATCGTCACATTGAATATCTTCATTTTCCAAGGGTGTTGACCATGAAACATCTAGTGTCCTCCAAAAAATATCAATTGAATCCAAAGGGATATCCTCACCTGAAAAACAAGTTTTAGTTTCTAAAAAAACCAATACCTCCAAATAATCAAATGATTTTAGTTAAATAAACTGACCCGAATTTAAGTACGCTGAAAGTACGCAAGCACAAGGTAGCCCACAACTCTTACGAAGTTGACAACCACATGTTGAGTAGTTAAACTCAAGATCACTCAATCGATGTAGTTCTCCTAAAATCATATCAAGAGCCTCGTTTGAAACAAAACCCCGTAATAAGTTGAAACATGGTTGGTTATGTTGATGATAACGATAAATTCTACTTCTTTCAAAGCTTTCATTATTGATGTAACCTGGGACTGCACGATTTGATTGATATAGCCCACAAATTGATCTAATGAATATTTTTTGGATTCCAAGTACTTTTTTAACTTGGCGTGTTGGCTTTCAACTCTGTTGGTTGTGCGATTGCCAAAGTTGAGAGACTGGTCACTCCATGCAGATACAAACCTTTCTTTATAATTATTCAGCCATTGTTCATCCAAATAACTTAAAACACCTGAAAAGTTAAATAAAATTAAAATATAATTATTTGATATGAAATATTAAAAATATATTAAAAAAATGTCAAATATAAAAAATTACGTGGATATTTCCTCAATACTAATTGAAGTTGCTTGTAGTTTTCCATGTACGATATCCACGTCGAAGAATCTTCTAGTAACTTCCACGCCGAAAGAAAAGAGTCCCAATCACGTTGCGTCTTGATTGTTGGCCTGCAATTCTTCAAAATATTTTGGCTAATGTGCCATCTACAAAGTAATCGAGTAGCATTCGAAAAAACTTTTTCGCATGCTTTCATGAGAGCCAACTCTCTGTCGGTAATTATAACACGTGGTAGCATGCACTCATCTAGTGTCAACTTTAAACACTCTAACACCCACTTATAGTTGTCCATCTTTTCTTCACTTATAAAGGCAAAAGCTATGCAAAATGTTTTTCTTGTAGAAGTTACGCCAACAATCTCAACAAAAGGCATATTATACTTGTTCGTCTTGTACGTAGCATCTATCATCAACACATGTGGGAATGCACGCCATATCTTAAAAGATGTCGGATGAACAAAAAATAAAGCTTCCAGCTTGTTCGTAACATCATTTGTAGAAAAGTCGTGAACATAACCATTGGAGTGTAAAAGAGACATAAGAACCTGCATTCAAATTTTCATAATTAAATTACACTTTGATTATTTGAAAATAAAAAAGTCAAAATATAAAGGAAACAGAAAAAGATGTGTAATGTACTTAAAAAGTCATAATTAACCTACCGCCGGAGGGGATGAATGGATTACGGGTTGGACCTAGTTTGGAGATCGAAACGAGAATGGAGATGGCGGGTCGGGTCAGGATTATGCACTGTTGAGAAGAAAGTGAAATGTACTTAAAAATCAAAATTACCTTATAGTGTTGAGAAGAAAGTAAAGTATGCTTAAAAATCTAAACTAGATCATTTATATATACGATTATATTTGGTTTTGTAATTAAATGTATTTAGTTAAATTTTGTAATTAAAAAAAAAAAAGCTTCACGGCTTTGGATGCTCACAAAATTCCAGCTTTTGGTCCTATTTTCCACCTCAGAGATTGATTTGCCTTGTCTGGAACCCTACAACTTATTTAATTTTCAATCCATTTTCCAAAGATGAGAGAGAAACCCATATGTGCAGATGTAGTGGTTAAGTCAACCATTTCAACTACTGGTCTCCCCTCCTCGATAGTTAGACTAAACTGCACGTATACTTAAAAAAAAATCTTATTTAACCATTTAACAATTTTCAACATCTTGACAGTAAAAATTCTGACAGTAAAAAAATGTTATTTCCAACATGTTTGACTAATTGTTATTTCCAACATGATTAATTTTTTATTATTTTCAATATATTAAATGGTGAGTTAAATGCTGTACAGGTGAGTTGACTTGGTACATTTAGTAGTACCCATATTATCGTAGTCAAATCTAATATTAAAAACAATTAAGTTTTAATATATGATATAAAAATATAAATAAGTACACTGTACACAAATTGGTTATATTTTCATCAGCATCGTGTACTTATCTCACGTGTAAGAAGTAACCATACGAGCATTAAATACTTGAACATTAATGCTATAATTTTTGTTTCAATTTTGTTTATGGTAAGATTATTAATAGGTATATTTAATTAATGCATATACACAAAAATAAAAACACATTCTATTTTTTTTAATTCACCCATACGTGTATTATAGTCAATTCATCACCCAATGAAGGTTCCCATCCCCAAACGCCCTTAAATTAATTTTCCTTCACTCGTACAGTTCTCCCCTACTTTATTTCTTCTCCACTTCTCGTTCTGTCACTTTCTCTCTTAATTCTCCTCTCTCCTTAAATTCTCAGTCAAATAATCAAGATTCTTCTCTCTTTTTCTTTCCTCTATATAGCGATATGAGTCGTGGTGTGTTTGGTTGGGGAATGTGAGATTCTCATGGAAATGGAATCCATATTTTTCCGTTTTGTTGGCCGGGAATATTATTTCCGGTAATCTTACATTAGTAATAGTGAATTTTTTGGAGTATATTACCGGGAATGTCATTACCTCCATTTCCTTAGGTATTGTTAGATTACCGACGTTTTAGACTAAAATGCCCTTAATTTTTTTTTTCTTTCAAAAATATTCTTATTCTTTCATTGAATAATAAAAATTCCACGAAGGTTAAATTACAAATTTATCCTTAAACTATTTTAGATTTATAAAAAAAAATCTATAATTAAAATTTTATATGAAGTTAAGGGGTTAAAATAAAATTTTACCCTTTCATTAAACATTTTTATATTTTTAATTTTGTAAAAAAATTATATAATTTTTATGAATTTAATTTTTTTAAAGAAAATATATAAATATTTTCCAACTTGTTTAAAAAACAAATACATAATAAGGACAATTTGGTCAAATATACATTCCAATAATCTTTTATTCTTTTAACTAAACACGATAATCTTACATTCCTGCTAAACAAACCAAACACAAAATATAACATTCCCAGTAATCTTATTCCCTGTTAATCTTTTATTCCCACTAGTAATCTTACATTCCGTGAATCAAACACACCCTAAAACTCATTTCAATTAAATAATTTTTCTTTAACAAATAATTAAAAGATAATTCTTAATCATTTTACATAAATGTTTTTAAAATATTCTTCCCTCGAAATCTTAAAGAACAATAAAAATTTATTTATCATTGAAGTTGTTTGACTATAATTAAATAATTTTAAATATAATAAAAAAATATAAACGCAATATGTACACTGAACACAAATAAACACATTCTTCTTCGTTGTTAAACGTTATTTGAGTTTGGATATTTGGATTTATAATCTGTATTCAAACAAATAATTTTAAAACTTGAATTTAAATAATAAATATTAGAATGTATTTATCTATATTCGTCTAAATAATAAATAAATAAACAATAATTTTAATTTTTAAAATCATAAAAAAATAAAGTTCAGCGTAGAAACGACTATTCATGAAAATGTAGGCTTAACTGAAATTGGGAGAATTCTTCGAGATCATAATGATGAGATTCTGATTCCCTTCTCAAGATTCATTGGTCTGTCAAACTCTACTGGTGTAGAATTTGTTGTTAGGGGTGTTAGAATTTTTGGGTAGTTGATTGGTTGGTTCGTGTCTTGACTTGAATATTGCGGGTATACGTCAATTAGGTACCTAGATTTTAAGGGTGGCCATAATTCGGGTAATCGAGTATGCGATTTTTTACCATTTTCAAATTATTAATTTAAAAAATTATACAGCTTAGGAACTAACTGGATTTCAACAGACGATGGGGATGGCTGTTATGCTGGACGAGATAATCAATTATGTTCATTCATTGCAAAACCAAGTAGAGGTAAATTGAATGCCCTGTAAAAACATGATTTCATGTTTCGTAGCTCTCAATAAATACTACAAACACCTTATGAACTAACTTTTCTTCTAATTTCAGTTTCTTTCGATGGAGCTCGCGACAGCTGCTGCTTCTTGTGACCTGAACTCGGAAATCAAATGCATAAAAAAGACACAGGTATACATCAAGCAACTTCATTTCCAACATAATCATGTAAAAGAAAGTAAAAAGCTTGTAACCAGGTACTCGGCCCGAGTACCCGAAAAAATATAATTTTGTGACATGAGTCCGATCCGGGAAATATCAGGTCGGGTACCCGGCCCGATCGGTTAATTTTTTAAGATAATCATCCGATTTTTTTAGTTCGGATCGATAGCGGGCTGGATATTTTTGAACGCCCCTACTTGCTGCTATTTTAAAAGAGTGCTAGATCTTCTCGTCCTCAAGGTGGGCGAAAAATAGCAATCTGCTCATTGAATCTGATTGTTTGCTGGCGGTGAATTGGATCGAGAATCCTAGGGTATCCTCCTCTTTTGCTAAGCTGGTTGCGAAAAATAATGATTCCTGTGTTCGGTTTTCATGGAGGGTTAGCTTTGTCTACAGGGAAAGGAACCATGACGCCCACGTGTTGGCACAAGAGGGTTTTTGGAGTGCTCATCCGTGCATATGACTGAAAGCGAATGGGTAGGTGCTGCACTTGCGAATTCTATTTGTGCAGGTATGCATATGCTGGTGATCTTGGAATCAATTGCAGGTTTAGCTGTGTTCTGCAATCGAATGTACCGATAAAATCTGCTGTGTGATTTTGCCTTGAGTCATTGCAGAGGAGTGCGGGTTTATACTCATTTACCCAGGTCGTTCAGTGATAATATGATTGGTAATTTGGAATGCGCAAAGTACCGTCTTGGTGTTGGATGTGTATTCGTTTTGGTTGACACCGATTTGGGGAATTCCTTTTCCACCATTTAGGATTAAGAAGATTTATTAACGACATCTTAATCTTTGTTGTTTTGTATGATTCATTGCAATTATTAGCATAAAAGCGCCATTTTCAAAAAAGAATTCAAATATATAATCTAAATTGTCATCCTTAAATTCAATTGTTGAAAGAAAAAGTGGGCGAAAATAATTAATTCGATGGTGTAAATTTAGCGACGTGTCGCAACCGTCTTTCGGTTGGGTCCCGGAATTGGGCTTCGACTTAGGAAAATGGATTAGGAGTCGCCACCGATCATTTATTTTAAAGCAAATGGGTTGATTGGACACCCTATTTCTTACCTGATCTGCGTCTTACCAAAGATGTGTTGAATTCGGGAGTTGGTTACAGTCAAGGAAGGGTTAGCACCCTTGAACTGCCCTTTCGGTACTACATAATTTCCAGTTGTCTTTGATTAAGAAAATTGTAAATTAAATTAAAAGATAAAATGACGATCCAAATTACTCACATCTAAAGTTTGGAAAACGAAACCCTTAAACAATCATGAAAAGTGTTAGAAAAACAAAAGCGATGAAGATAAATTAAAAATAAAGAAAATGAATAAAGAAGAGATAAAAAAAAAATAAATAAATACTAACAAATATGGACGAAAAGTAAACAACACAGTTGATATGGAGATTATGAAAATAAAAGGAATATATAAAAAAATAAAGACAACGGAATAAAATAAATAAATAAATAAAATAAGAAAAATGAATCAATGAATAAAGAAAATAAAAATAAATAAATAAACAAACGAAGGGAAAAAGGTAAAAAAGAAATACATACATATTAGCTTGTAAACTAAAAATATATAAAGAAAAATATTAAGAAATAATGTAATATATATATATATATATATATAATATAACATATAAATAAGTAAATAATAAAATGATAATGATACATGTATATACATAACAACAAAGGAAATAAATAATAATAATATACATGAGTAATATCAAATATATACTATAATGTAATATTAAATAAAATAAGAAGAAAATTGAAATTCAAATCTAGAAAACGGACTAGAATGTAAAAATAGAAAATCGAATGACAAATTTTGGAGCACTTTGAGGATGAATTGGGATTTCAGGGTAGAAATTAAATCCTTTATAAACGAGGGGACCAAGAGTGAGATTACCCCTTTTTCACACCCATTCCGAAAATCAAAGTATTTTCTCAAGAAAAAAGCATCGGGGCTAGATCTATAAAAATAGATCCCGAAAAATGCCCATATTCATCGGTAAAAAATCGTTTTCTTTGGTGTTTTTCGAATACAAAAAGTAACG